ATCACCTAGGTTGTGCATGAAACGGAAGTACATGATGCTATCCATGTTGATTTCGGGACCAAAACAACCGGGAAATAATATTGATATTTACCTAAGACCTCTGATTGAAGATTTGAAAGTGTTGTGGGAGGTAGGTGTAGAAGTGTTTGATGCAAATCAGAAGGAGAATTTTAAGTTACGTGCTATGATCTTTTGTACTATAAATGATTTTCCTGCATATGGAAATTTGTCTGGTTATAGCGTGAAAGGTCATAAAGCTTGTCCAATTTGTGAAGAAAGCACAAACTACCATCAACTTCAACATGGAAGGAAGACAGTTTACCTTGGCCATCGGAGGTTTCTTAGACGAGATCACCTATATCATAGATTGAAGAAAGCTTTTCATGGTCACCAAGAACACAATGATGCTCCGGATATTGTCTTTGGTATATGAACGTATATGAATGTGTGAAAAACATTAATATTGTCTTCGGTAAGACTAAAAAGAATACTGGTGCAAAAAGCATATGGAAAAAAAGGTCTATCTTTTTTGACCTCCCATATTGGCGCAATCTTGCAGTAAGGCATTGTATTGATGTTATGCATGTGGAGAAAAACGTGAGTGATAGTATTATTGGAACGCTTCTGAACATACCAGGTAAGACTAAGGATGGTGTGAATGCAAGATTGGATTTGAAAGAAATGGGAATACGGGAAGACTTACACCCAAGACCAAAAGGTAAACGAACTTATTGTCCCCCAACCTCTCATACATTGTGCAAATCTGAGAAAACAAGTTTTTGTGAGTGTTTACATGAAATTAAAGTTCCTTCGGGATATTTTTCAAATATTATGAAGCTTGTATATGTGAAAGAGTTGAAACTGGTAGGCTTAAAATCTCATGATTGCCATGTCTTGATGCAACAGCTATTACCTTTGGCTATTCGAGGCATATTGAAAGAAGATTTAAGACTTACAATAACCAGACTTTGTTTCTTTTTCAATGCTATATGCAGTAAAGTTATTGATCCCCGTAAACTGGAAGAGTTAGAACAAGAAGCTTGTACTATCTTGTGCCAACTTGAGATGCACTTTCTTCCTACATTTTTTGACATTATGGTTCACTTAATAGTGCATCTAATAAGGGAGGTAAAATTGTGTGGCCCTATTTATTTGTGATGGATGTACCCAGTTGAGAGATACATAAAAATACTGGATGTACCCAGTTAAGGGCCTCGTACCTCCAACAGAGAATATGTGAAGTCAAAAAGGACGTTTTTATGGCTCCATATGTGCACTCGTAAGGATCAATTTATAATTAATAGTTTTTTAATATGAATTTACTTTAACTTGTATCATATTTAGCAGGGACCATTGGCAGTTATTTGTTCTTTCAATGAAGAGCAACACTGTCGTCTTTTTATGCTCCTTCCATTACAAACTTAGAAAAGAAATGAAGAAGACGATAAACTTGTAAGAATACTTTTACTAAACTATTTAATTTAATTTTTTTTGAATATTTTTACTAACTTGATAATCTTGATCATAGGGCAATGAGAACATATCAAAATGTAGTCTTACAAAAGCATGGACATGAGCTCAAGGATCTCACATGGATTGAGCCAAAGGTGATGCTATACTTTATTAATATGTTCAATTATCAAGATTTCTTACTAATTTTTTATGATTTGTTCTTATATAGAGTCATAGACAACCGGTGAGGATGAACTTGTGCGGTCTATATGTCATGAGATACATGCTCAATATTATCACATTAGGCATGACCGAATTTACAAAAGAGGTAAATATATATATTTTTAAAAATTTTATTTTATTATGTTATTTGAGATTGATTAATATGCCTACTTTATGAATCAAATTTTAGATGTTCGACAATTTGGATGCATTTTCTGAAGCTGAAATTGAAGACATCTGCATACATTGGGCAACCTATTTTGTGAAGAACTTGTGAGGTTTTTTGTTACTTTTAGACATGTTTTAATTTTGATAGTTGACACAATTTAGATAATTATTAGTTTTCCTAATAGTTAAATAGTTTTGTATAGTTGATAAATACTTGATAAACAATTGTAAATGAATTGAGCTGTCTGATTTGGCAATTTTTATGCACAGGAATGGCAATTTTGACAATTTAGACAATTATTAGTTTTTTTTAATAGTTAAATAGCTTTGTATAGTTGATAGATACTTGATAAACAATTGTAAATTAATTGGGCTGTCTGATTTGACAATTTCTATGCACAGGAATGGGTAAAATTAATAAAATAAATATAGTATAAAAAAATAAAATACTTTTTACATTGGTTATTACCATAACCGTTGTAGAATATAATATTTTTTACACCGGTTTGGATAATAACCGGTGTAAAAAGACCATAACCGATGTAAAAAATATTATATTCTACAACGGTTGTATAATAACCGGTGTAAAAAGTACACTTTTTACACCGGTTGGGATCTGAATCGGTGTAAAAAGTTTAAGTAATTTTTTTTAATTTTCTTGTATATAATTTTTAACATCGGCTCTATAACCGATGTAAAAAATTTAATTTTTACACCGGGTTTATAACCGATGTAAAAAGAGAAACTTTCTACATCCCCTGAAACAACATCATCTCTTTAACCACTGTAAAAAGTCATTTTTAACCGCTGTAAAAAGTCATTTTTGTACTAGTGTAAATATAATTTTTTGTATATAGTATTGGGGTCAAATTGTCCAAAATTATACATACTAATAAAATTCATTAAATATACATTGCAACTTTATTTTTTTTCAAAACAAAATATAAATTTTCATGAGTACCCTTTATTTAATATTCTATTTGTAAAAGAATATTATAAGAGAGAATATATTAGAAAGGTAATATTATAAAAAAATATTATCTATTTATAAATCATGTCATTAAATTTTTATTACAAGTTTTTTCTTTTACCTTCCATTGAATGTTGGAAAAAGAAAATGTATTATTAAAATATGTATATTTAATAGGAGTAAAGTTAAAAACTTATTAAATTTTAAGATAGAGTTAATAAATTTTAAGGTTTTTCTCAATACCGGTGAAACGTGTTAGAAGTGACTTATAAATAGGGCCAGAGAAGTATTTTATATAATGTTTTTAAACAAAATTATATATTTAAATAAAATTTATTAAATACATTTTGCATTTGTTTTTCAAAATATAAATATAAATATCCAAAAATACACTCCATTTAAAAAGAGAGAAATATAATAAAGAGGAAAGGGTGATGTTGAAAAATTATATTAAATGAAAATCTATTTTTATCAAGTTATTTTGTACCCCTTTAGTCCTATTTATAAGTCACTTCTAATACGTTTCACCAGTATCAAGAAAAATCTTAAAACTCATTAACTCTATCTTAAAATTTAATAAATTCTCAACTTTGCCCCTATTAAATATATATACTTTAATAACATATTTTCTCTTTCCAACATTTAATAGAGGGTAAAAGAAAAACTTTATAATAAAAATTTAATGACGTGATTTATAAATAAGATAAAAAATTTTCTCTCTTTACCTTATAAATAAGATCAAAAAGAATATTTTGAAATACCAAATTATCTTGAAAATATATTGTTTTATACAAAGCGAGTGTGATGTAATGTAAGGCCATGTTAATAATACTTGAAGAAAAATTATTAAATGAAAGGTTATTTAAAAAAAACAACTAAATATATATATATATATATATATATATTATTCCCCCCATGGACAAACGATGCGAAACCAAATTGACGTTGCATTTAGCCGATGAGGGTTACGACATGCGCACACGGAAATTCCTGCTCCGTGGACATGACTCCATTCAAATGATGCACGACTTTTGAGGCCTATTGACTTGGAGCCACCTGCGAAACTTCTAAGAAGTTATGTTGATATCAGCAATCTGAATAATATAAATTCATATTTATAATTTAATTTAATATTAAAATTTTGTATAATTTTATCAATTGATTATTTAAATACATTTTGAACAATTTAAATTTAATATTAATTTTTTTAATTTTTTATAAATTTTTATTTTGATAAATATAATATTAAAAATATAAATAATATCCAAACTAATACTTTTAAAAAATACTTTTTTAAAAAAGGTGAGAATTAAAAACTTTAAATCTAAGCTATCCACGTGTCTTTAAATAGTTAGTTTATAAAAATAATAAATTTTTTTAATATTAAAATGAACTATTTAAATTAAAAATGAATTATAAATTTATTAAAATTTTTATAAATTTTTCAATAAATATAAAATATTAACTTAAAATGTAGATGGTCAAGATGGGACCATTATTTAAAATAATCCACGACTTTTGGGATCTTTTGACTTGTGGTCAGTTGCAAAACTTCTAGGAAGTTGCGTTCATAACTCCTAGGATGTTCAAGACACGTACTTGAGCAATATTAAAATTATAATTTTATAAATTAATTATTCAAAATATATTATAAAAAGTTAAAATTTACTATTAATTTTTAAATATTTTTATAAAATTTTATTTTAATAAATTTGATATTAAAAATAAAAATAATATCCAAACTGGCATCTTTAAAAAATATTTTTAAGAAAAAAGTTGTGAGTTTAAAATTCTAAATTTGAACTGTTCAAAATATATTTCAATAATTAATTTATAAAAAAATTTATATTAAATTAAATTATCTAAATTAAATACATTTTTTAAATTAAATTTATAATAAAATTATTTATTACAAATTTTATAATTTTTATTTTAATAAATATAAAGTAAAAACTTAAAAAATGTAGATGGTAGAGATGTCATCACTGAAACCGGACGCACATCTTTCACATTCATGTTTGTGTATTAAAAAGTTAAAAATAAAAAGAAACACAAGTTTTTTCTCGTTTCTTTTTATTAATTAAATATAGAAAACGTTCTTGCGTGGAATTTTCAAGATCCTTTGTCAGGGAGGCATATAACCCCATTGACTACATTCGCTATCGCAGGCTGGTCTCCTCCAGTTTATGGTCTTCATCTTCTATTGACTGGAACAGCTCCGGAGCAGCTAGTTGAGGTTGAGAGGATCGGGAGCAGAAAAGTAAAGATAGTGAAGATGGAAGTAGTTCTGGAGCTTGCAGGGAACGAGCTTTTGGATCTAATCAAAAGGGCTCTCAAGCATTCAGAAACAGCGCGAGGCCTCGAGTCCACCATGGAATTGTTGGGTCAATTGTTTGCAGAGATTCAACAACTGTCCAGGGAGGCGAATGTGGAATCTCAGGTACTCGAGAAACTCCAGGAGAGTATGAACAAAATACAAAACGCTCTTCTTAAATACTCCAAAGTCGGGTGGCGTATTTGGCTTGCGCCATTTTACCAGAAAAAAATGGAGAACGCAGTGAATGAAATGAAAGAAATCATGCAGTATTTGCCTTTGCTGACGTTAAGGAATGTTCTTAAATTGCTCACGGGAAATAGGACTCCTGATCAGACCAATCATATTGGCAGACCAGAAATTTTGACAAGGGGTGATCTTGAAATATCACAGCCTGAGTCTACACTGGAGTTGCATGCTCCATTGTTGGAAAAATTGAAGTCTTTCGTCATCATGGATGGTGGCGATCATCAGGTCCTTAACTTGACCGGCTTTGCCGGCTCCGGCAAGACCACCTTGGCCAAACAGCTCCGTCATGATCCGGAAGTCCGAGGTAACCCCCTCTTCAATCAATGTACACAGTAGAATTATAATTAACGTCGGAAAAGTTTTTGTTTCAGTTCTGTTTAAGATACATCCATACTACATAGAGTAATGAATGAATAATATATTTATCTTGATTCCTATATGCCTAGACAGTATCATTCAAATGGAATAATAAATTGAAGTATGATGCCAAGGACTAATCTGGATGAACAGAGAGGTTCGGCGATAATATCTTCGTCGTAGATTCATGGATTGAAAGCAATGAGGTTATGGCAGAGCAATTGCTTGAAGAGTTGCGTGAAAAAGGGAACAATGAGGCTGTGTTTCTGGTGCTGGATAATTTTGAGCCTGGCTTTATAGGACTTGTTAAGCAGTGCATGAATTGGACATCATCAAATCCTAAATCCAGAATTTTGGTGATTTCAAGAGTTGATATCCCAGATTTGGGCACCAGGGAGACCATGACACCACTGGGTGAAGATGATGCAATCGAGCTTTTACGTCACTCTGCAAAACCAATTGGCACCACCCCCTTCAATTTACCAGAAGATAGTATTCTCCGACAGGTCCTTTCTCTCTAGTTAACCTTGGTTCATAATTAATCATCTCATTTTCTTTATTAATTTCACAATTTTAGTGAAAAAGGATCAACTTGCTTTTACCATCAGGTTGTAAGAAGTTGTGGAGGTTTTCCATTAGCCATCATAATAACTGGCAGTGAACTCAGGGGCATGCCCGTCGAAATCTGGAAAAAGAAGTGGAGAGAATTGTCACGGAAAGGAGACTATCCTCCTTCAGAGGCGCTTACTTATCTCCATAACTCATTAATTGTTTTGAATGGTTTTAAAGATGCTAATGATAAATTCTTCATGGACCTTGGCTCATTCCCTGAAAATCAAGTTATCCCTGTTACTGCCTTAATCGACATGTGGGCAGAACTTTACGAAGAAGACGATGACGGAATAGATGCGATGAACCACATCCACCAATTGGCTTTCATGAATTTGGTTTGTAAGGTGGTTCAAAGGTAAATATCTCATTTATTAAGTTCGTACAGATTAATCTATATGCACATGATATTTTGACTTAACCAGGCGAATTGGAAGCGATGAAGACAATTGCTACAATAACCACATCCTAGCTCAGCATAAAATTCTCAGAGAGTTGGCCAACAAATATTCGAGCGAGGGGCATGTATTGGAGAGGAAAAGACTAATTCTTGGGAATGATCCTCCCCAAGGGTGGCCACAACGGACTCAGAGCTGGTTCTATTATTTTCTATCACACCTCATAGGATCAACAGGGCAAAGGATAGCTGCTCGTGTATTATCTATATCCACTGGTTTGTTTAATTTCCTCTCTTTTGACTTCCCACTTATAATTTTTTGTTATTTGGTTAATTTCATATATTATTATCTCTACTGCAGATCAAAACGTCACTCCAGATTGGTGCGACAATATTCAACCAACTGAAGCTGTGGTTCTGGTTTTGAATATTTTCAAGACTTCAGATTACACGTTACCGAAATTCATGAAGTCAATGGGAAACCTGAAAGTTCTTATACTCACCGGTTATGCTTACTGTTTCACAGAGTTAAGAAATCTCGAGCTGCTTGCTTCCTTAAGAAGCCTCAAGAGAATCAGATTGCAGCATGTTTCTGTTCCGTCCCTTTGTGACTTGAAGAACGTGACCAAGTTGTCATTTTACTGTTGTCAAGTGAAGAAGGCTTTTGAGGATAGTTCCATCGAATTCTCATCAGCTTTGCCAAAACTGGAAGACTTGAACATTGAGTATTGCATTGATTTGATTGCGTTGCCTTCTGGGCTCTGCTCTGTTGTCAGCTTGAAGAAACTCAGCATCATTAGCTGCCACAAATTTACTGGACTACCCCAAGAAATTGGGAGGCTTGAGAATCTGGAATTACTGCGGATTAGTTACTGTGCTGATTTTGAAAATTTGCCAGGGTCAATCACGCAGATGAGTCATCTAAGCATCCTGGATATCTCACATTGCGTAAGCCTGAGGGAAATACCAGACAAAATTGGGGAGCTGCAGAATCTAAGAAAGCTTTATATGACAGGCTGCTCAATACATGAAATGCCAGACTCGGCCATGAAATTGGAGCATTTAGAGGTGGTGATATGCGATGACTGTACATCTCATTTATGGGAAGTGATCAGTTCAGGGCTACCTAACCTCAACGTAAACACTGCCCAGACAGACATTACCTTGAATTGGCTTTTGGGCTCTGGCTTCCAAGGTTTTATCCTTTAATTAAAATCACAAACAAACTGCTCCATTGGTTTTGCTTGTTTCTTTTCATCTTTTGTCGTTTGAATCAATCATTTTTTGCTGTAAACTTGCACAATCCTGTTATGTCACATAGACAGATGTTTGTGTTTGATGTCCACTAAAATATACTTAAAATAAATTGTCATGCAGTTACATCATGTTTATGAGTTTCACTCTTTGTCTCAATTTATTTTTATTTTTTAATAATTTTATACAAATTTTATAATCATGAAATGATGGCATTTAATCTAAAAGATTCAATCATTTAAATTCGTAAACTTGGATTACAGACACGTAAAAGTTCATTATTGATTTTTCTTGTTTCTTTTCATTTTTAATTTTTTGTTGTCTGAACGAATTATTTTCTACCGTAAATTTGTACAACCGTGTATGTCACTTGAAAACTTTGAGACGGATGTTTGGATTTGATGTTCACTAGAATAATATTTTTTTTATTTATAAGTTATTTCTATCATATTTTGCAAGAATCAAAGAAATTCTAAATCTCATTATTTATGTTTAAAAAATCAACAAGTTTCTGACTTTATTTCTATTAAATATACATACCTTAAAAATCAAATACTTTGGCATTTAATAACCTTTTCAATATTTAATAAGAGCAAAAAGATAAGTATGGATATAATAATTATTGAGATACCATATAAATAGGACCAAAACAAATACTCTCTCAATCTTATAAATAAGACTAGAAGAGAAAGTAATAATTTTAGTATTGATACAGACATGAATTAATTATTGTGAAGCTAAAATAAGCACTAATTTTTAATTAAAAATTAATTAATTAAGTATTCCAATTTATTTACAATAAAAAGTCTCTTAATCATCCATGATTCTGTCAATTTTATCAGTAAAATGAATAATTAAACATTGACATAGGATAGCAAAACGTACCACCAAAGGGCTGTCCATGTGTTGGTGAGTGACCATTGGTTGTGCGTGGGATGTTAGTCCATCACGTGACTCTCATCCATCAGCCTCAATCTTGCACACTTCTAGTAGGTACGTCCTCGGATAGGTGAATTCTCAAAACCACAACGACTTTGGATGATACTCCATATAATATAATTAAGAGATGACATAAAATAATATTCATGGATTAATGATTTCGAGCAATTGTGGTACAACCTCACTTGTCTGAAAGCTTCACTAATTAAAAAGGTAATCACGTTCGAGACCTAATCTCAAAGTTTGATGAAAATATTTTCTTGAAGTTAAATAATTTGTTCCAAGTTTGTCCTATTAATTGACCTAAACAGTGCACGGCTTCAGTCATCATTTTCTGTCTCAATTGCCAGATCGAATTTCAACACTACCATATAATTGGTTTATGATTTAATTCCATGTCCTTTTCTCTTATCATAACAGCGGACTTTCCCCAAAAGACCAATATTTTCATTGTTGCTAACTTTTAGGGGTCCATTTAGTATGATGAAGTCAAAATGATTGAAATAAATATGGAAATGAAATTAAAATTTTTGTGTTTGGTTTACTAAAATCACATGGAATTAGACTTCCACATGAAAGCCATTTTCATCAAAATTGATGGAACTGAGTTCCATCTCAAAAATTCAATTTTCAAAATCGATCTTCTCAATTTCTTTTTTTGCCCTTCCTTTCATCCCCCGAACTGACAGCAACTTTTGCTGCGAATGGCAAGGATGACCTAGAGTCTATGAACAGCGAGGATGAACTAGGATCTTCGATGACCTCCAACAGTTATGCAATCTCTCTTGCTGATAGCAAGTCTTCTTTTTCACGGCATCAGCAACAATGAAGGCTTCCATTTGGTTTAGGTTTGGTTAGGATTTCAAAGGAAAAAAAACCAAAATTTAAACCAAATTCCATTTGGTTTTTAAATTTATGAAAACAAACCAGGTTCTAATAATAATCAATTTTATTTGATTTTTATTGGATTATTTTGATATTGTCAGTTTTGTTTAATTTTGCTGACCCTTAACTGCTACAATGGGATTAAATGTGGAGCCAAAAAGGTAAGTTTAGTTTGTTTACCAATAGGACGTGCTTCTCTCTTCTTTTGAACTCGGCGGAGAAGGCTTCTAGCATTGTGGGAAAACGTCCAGTCCAGAGTCTCTTCAACGAGCAACCCACAAAGAAGGAAGCATCATAACATAAGATGGAAGCATGCATACTGTTGGTTTTGATGCTCATCTTGATAAGATATGGATAGTTAAGATTTTAATTTGGATAGTTTAAATTTAAAGATTTTGTTTTATATTTTTTAAAATAAAAATTTTAATAAATTTACTTTATCATCAATTTAAATAATTGAGATTTAATTTTGGTAGTCCAATTTAATATTAAAATTTTTTATAATTATTTTTATATATTAATTATCCAGATGTATATTGGATAATTTAGATTTGATATTGAAAATTTTTATTTAATATATATAATGTTAAAAATAAAATAATATCCAAACTAACATCTTTTCTTAAAAAATATTTTTCTTGAAAAAAAAAAGTTGCAAGACCAACTTAGCCAAACAGCTCCGTCATGATCCGCCAGTCCGAGGTAACCCCCTCTTCTATCATTATACACCGTAGAATTATAATTACTGATGGAAGAGATTTTGTTCCAAAGCACGCATTTTCATCCTATTTATCTTGATAACTATAGACCTAGTCACTGTCATTCAAATGGAATAATGAATTGAAGTATGATGCCGAGGACTCAACTGGATGACCAGATTGGTTCAGGGAAAATATCTTCGTCGCAGATTCATCGATTGAAAGCAATGAGGTTGTGGCAGTGCAATTGCTTCAAGAGTTACGTGAAAAGGGGAATAATGAGGCTGTGTTTCTGGTGTTGGATAATTTTCAGCCTGGCTTTGTAGGACTTGTTGAGCAGTGTATGAATTGGATATCATCAAATCCTAAATCTAGAATTTTGGTGATTTCAAGAGATTTGGGCACCCGAGAGACCATGACACCAGTGGGTGAAAATGATGCAATCCAGCTTTTACGTCACTTCGCAAAACCAGTTGGCACCACCTCCTTCAATTTACCCGAAGATCCGTGTTCTCCGACAGGTCCTTTCTCTCTAACCTTGGCTCATAATTAATCATCTCATTTCACAATTCTAGCAAAAAGGATCAACTTGCTTCTATCATCAGGTTGTGAGAAGTTGTGGAGGTTTCCCATTAGCAATCAAAGTAATTGGCGGTGAACTCAGGGGCAAGCACCCTGATATCTGGAGATAGAAGTCAAAAGAATTGTCAGGAGTGGAGACTATTCTCCTTCAGGGGCGCTTACTTATCTCCATAACTCATTCAGTGTTTTGAAGGATTTTGAAACCGTTAGAGAATTCTTCATGGACCATGGCTCATTCCTTGAGAATCAAATTATCCCTGTTACTACCTTAAGCGACATGTGGGCAGAGCTTTACCAGGATGACGATGATGGAATAGATGTGATGAACCACGCCTGCCAATTGGCAGACATGAATTTGGTTGATAAGGTGGTTCAAAGGTAAATATACTTATGCCAGCTCAGCAAATAAACTTTGTCTCTTATGTATGTATCCCATTTCTTGAGTTCGTACATGATATTGTCACTTAACTAGGCGAATTGGAAGTGATGAAGACGATAGCCACAGTAACCACATCCTAACCTAGCATAAAATTCTCAGAGTTGGCCAACAAATATTCAAGCGAGAGCACAGTATTGGGGAGGAAAAGACTAATTCTTGGGAATGATCCTCCCTAAGGGTGGCCAAAATAGACTCACAGCTGGTTCTGTTCCTTTCTATCACCCCTCGTAGGATCAACACGGTAAAAATTAAAATGTTTCTACACCGGGTGGTTTGCTACCGGTGTAGAAAGTTATAATTTTTTTGAAAAAAATTAAAAAAAATTAAAAAATATTATCTACACCGGGTATATATATAATCGGTGTAAAAAATATCTTAAATTTTTTTAAAAAAATCAGTTTCTACACTAAGTGAGGGTATACGTAATGTAGAAATTATCTAACAATTTAAAAAAAAAATAGTTTCTAGATTAGGTGGGGGTTTGCTTGATGTAGAAGGTGTCTTAATTTTTTTTTATAAAAAAGCACTTTCTTAAAATAAATTTTAAAAAATTATTTAATTTCTGCATTGGTTCTATAGATTTCTAGTGCAAAAACTACTTTCTACACCCATTGTCATAGAAACCAATGTAGAAAGTCTAATATTATCTTTAAAAATAAAATAAATAAATTGATGAACTATCTATACAAGTTATTTAATAATAAGTGTGGAATTTTTTTCAATTTCTTAAAAAAATAAAAATTTAAAAAATAGTGATTTTTTACACCTTATATTCAAACAACCAGTATAGGAAGTTCAAAATAATTTCTTTAAAAATAATATTTTTAAAAAATTAAGAATTAAATGATCATTTTACCAATACTAAAATATAATATGAACTAATACTCTCTCTGTTAAAAATGTATAACATTTTTAATATTTCAAAATATAATAAATATAATTTTTTTAAAAGTATTCATAATAAATAAATCACTTTATATTTATTTTAAAGTAAAACACCTAATTAAGTAAGGATATATATTAAAATATTATGTTAATTTGAATATAAGTAACTTTATAAAGGGTGAAATTTAATTAAAAATACTTTACATTTTTAACAGAATGAGTATATTATTGATATGAATAGTCATATATTATTTTTAAGAATATAACATATATTAATTTTTCAATTAAAGATGTATTTTAATTCAACTAAAAAAAAAGAAAGACATAAGACTTAAAAGGTAGAAGATTATAGGTTCAAATTTTATGAGTAATAAACATGTGACATAGCATGAAGGGGTGGTGATGTGTTGTGAGGTGGTGCGCACAATATGGCATGAAATAAAAATATATGACTTTTTTCACCCATTATGTAAAGTAATTGATGTAGAAAGTGTCTATCAAAATTTTTTTTTTTTTGTGGAAACACATTTCACACTAGACTTATAACACTTTTTACACCAACGTACCGATTATAGAATCAATGTAAAAAATCATGTTAAATTTATTTAAAAAGATTATTTTGTAATAGTGGAAAGTTAAAAGCTTGTAGAATTTTTAG